AACACATTAATGCTTGAGATTAATTCAAAATCTCTGGCACGTTAAAATAATGTAACACAAATAAATTATAGGAGCAACTGAAATCGTCATTAACGTAATTTATGTCACACAGACAGATGATCTAGGGAGTCGGGAGTTTATCATACTGCCGCATTCACCTGTAAAACTATAGTAGGTCTGGATTTTCTATTCCAACACTTTAATTCAATTCTGCTTCTGTGTATTTGAGATCACATCACATGCAGTTAAACTTAAGGAAATATTCAGTTCAATGATCCAGGTAGTGAGGAATTTAAATAAAATCAGTAATTGCTTTAGATGTCAGAGAGAATAGTAATATATGCAGTTTTTAAGGGAATGGTTCACTTGTGTGTGTGTTTTAGTTTTGAAGTCGACGTGAAAGCTTAGCCAAATAACCACAATGCTATGTTTAAGCTTCAAAACAAACATTTAAAACATCTAGGCATTCATAACATACACTCTCAGAAATAATGGAAAACAATCTGTCACTGGGGTGCAAAGTAAACTTTTGTACCATGCAGGTGGACATTAGTACCTTTAGGATACACTTTTGTACCTTACAATTTAACTTTTGTACCTTTAAGCTACTGTGAGGTACACATTTGTATTTTTAGGGTATTAATATGTACCTTTTAAGGACCTGTATAGGAACAAAAATTTACTTTTTGAATAAGTACCTGTTTCATACCACCCCAGTGACAGATTTTGCATCTTTATTTCTGAGAGTTTACAGTAACATTTCAATATGAAGTATTTTCATGACATCACTTTATCATGACTTTGCATTTCGGATTTTCATCAGATTTGTTTGTCCAGAAGTGCCCTGACACTATACTGTTTTGAAAAATTCATTCATATTTATTACTATTGCTATTTTCCATTTGCTGAATGTCACACAGTGCACTTAAACAATCCAGACAGTGTAATATACTTTCCATTGGGGCGAATGAGGTTTCAAATTAGTTTCATATGATGCACACATAGTATACTGTTAACTCTCTTAATGCTGATTTTTTTACATCATTGCTCCTGTCTTGAGTGTCTCCTAATCCTTCAGAATTGATTTTAATATACATAATTACCGTGTAAGAATCATACATCATCTGACAAACGTCTTGTCGCCTATCCAAGTTTTAAGAACAACAAATAATAACTTGACTTCAGCGTGGCTTATGTGAAAGGCAAAGGCCTCTAGATTACACTTATTTTACCAAAATAAATCACGATGATGCCTTGATTTTTAATGATTTAATTAGGACAGTAAGGTCTAACTTTGCTTAGACAAAAATCTTGTCACTTATCAGTAATAATGTCCAGTATAGAATATAAATATGAATATTCTGTATGACTCCATAATGAGCTTGAAGGACTGCATCCATACATCTCTGCAATGACTCAAATCACTGATTAATAAAGTCATCTGGAATGGCAAAGAAAGTGTTCCTGCAGGACTCCCAGAGTTCATCAAGACTCTTTAGATTTATCTGCAATGCCTCCTCCTTCATCTTATCCCAGACATGCTTTAAAATGTTCATGTCTGGTGACTGGGCTGGCCACTCCTGGAGCACCTTGACCTCCTTTGCTATCAGGAGCTTCGATGTGGAGGTTGAAGTATGAGGAGGAGCGCTATCCTGCTGAAGAATTTTCCTCTCCTGTGGTTTGTAATGTAATGGGCAGCACAAATGTCTTGATGCCTCAGGCTGTTGATGTTGATCATCCACTCTGCAGATCTCTTGCACGCCCCATACTGAATGTAACCCCAAACCATGATTTTTCCTTCACCAAACTTGACTGATATCTGTGAGAATCTTGGGTCCATGTGGGTTCCAGTAGGTCTTCTGCAGTATTTGTGATGATTGGGATGCAGTTCAACAGATGCTTCATCAGAATAATCTACCTTCTGCCACTTTTCTAAATAATTAACAAGAAGTCACCGTTATTATCTGTCACTCATACAACTGGGATCGACAACAAGTCTTTTGTCAGGTAATGTAAGTGTTGAAAACATGTTGCTCATTTTTTGAATTCTGTTTTTTAAACATACAATGTACAAAATACAGGCGAGGCCTCACAGCAAGAAGGTCGCTGGGTCGCTGGTTCAAACCTTGGCTCAGTTGGCGTTTCAGTGTGGAGTTTGCATGTTCTCCCTGGGTTTCCTCCGGGTGCTCCGGTTTCCCCCACAGTCCAAAGACATGTGGTGAAGGTGAATTGGGTAGGCTAAATTGTCCGTAGTGTATGAGTGTGTGTGTGAATGTGAGTGTGGATGTTTCTCAGAGGTGGGTTGCGGCTGGAAGGGCATCCGCTGCGTAAAAACTTGCTGGATAAGTTGGCGGTTCATTCCGCTGTGGCGACCCCAGATTAATAAAGGGACTAAGCCGACAAGAGAATGAATGAATGAATGTACAAAATACAGAGTTTCACACATTTACTTCATGTTGTTCCTATAGAAATCAATTAAGCTAACTCTTTGTTTTTGATAATTTAAGTAGACTGAACATGAAACTGTTAAGTTGAGGCAAAAAAACCCCACAATAATAATGTTAGTTCAGTTTATTTTAAATAAGTAGTTTGAACAAACAGCAAAAATCTTTTTTTTTTTTTTTTGAGTGTTTGTAACACTCTAAATGTCTTTACCATCCCTCTTGGTCAATTTAAAGTGTCCTTGCTGGATGAAAGTATTAATATTCATTATTTCCTCCAAAGGCAAAGTGATCTGTTTATGTCAAGCCTTGTTATTTCACTATTTTCATGACCAACAATTTTCGTTCAAAAGAAAAGCAAAGGCCTTCATTTGACAGCTCAGTTTGGCTCGCTGTCGCCTCTAAGAAACATAACCAAACATGAATCAAATAATTGCTCTTACTCTTTCTCCTCTTCTGTCACTCTCGGGTCAGTTCGTTTTCTAACAACTTTTCTTTTCCCCAATGTCTCATGTCAGTTGAGTAACAATTAAAAGTGGCATAATGTAACACGAACCCTGAGTGTTAGCAAACAGAGTTTTGTTTCTTTAAAGCAAAGACACTTCATTAAGCCAGTCTCGTATAAAGCCTCGGTTTTTAGGTTAATTACTGTTCCTAGCTCTGATGCTTCTCTGATTTTTTTTTCCTCCCCTTTAACTCACCAGAGGAGCTCTTGTGTTTAATTAGGACTGTGTGGTACGCCAATAAACAATGTATTAGGAGACTAGGAGACAGCAGATAAGTGCCTGAGTCATTACCTAGGGTTCATAAGCTGTCTTGATGTACAGTCGTAATTGCAGCGATGCGGCCCCCATTTGCGGCAGGAGATCTCTTTGTGGATCTTAAAGAGTTTATATTGGTTTATTGTTTGCGGTTTAAAGAGTAACCTTCCGTTGGCGGCTGCTATACTTTATTAGGCATTAGCGTGACTCATTCTCCACCTGTTTGAATCTGCTTCTGTCTGTAGGTGGATTCTGGAAGCCATGGAAATCCCCCCTAAAAGCTTCCTCCCCACTGTTTTTAATGATTCCATAAGACACTGGTTCTGATTATACATATACAGCCCGGAAAATACGTTTTGGGCATGTCACGATTTTTTCCTGGTTAATATATTTCTAAAAGTGCTGCAACATGAAATTATATTATAACTTTTACAGAAATTAAGTTTGTAATTTGTGTAGGTTTTCTCCTAAAATTAGGATTTTGGTCAGGTTACTATGCATAAGTTGAGTAATTTCCCTTTTATGTCACTTAATATGTTGTTTTCTTTGTCTTTAATGTGAAATTAGTGAATATTTATATATATATATGTATGTATGTATACCCTCACCGGCCACTTTATTAGATACACCTGTCCAACTGCTCATTGATGCAAATTTCTAATCAGCCAATCACATGGCAGCAACTCAATGTTTTTAGGCATGTAGACATGGTCAAGACATTTATACCGAGCATCAGAATGTTGAAGACAGTTTATTTTGAAAGTGATTTTGAACATGGCATGGTTGTTGGTGGTCTGAGTATTTCAGATTTTCAAGCACAACCATCTTTGGGAGTTACAGAAACTGGCCTTTAAAGGAAAAAATATCCAGTGAGCGGCAGTTCTGTGGGCGCGCGAATGCCTTGTTGATACGAGAGGTCTGAGGAGAATTGCCAGTATGGTTCAAGCTGATAGAAAGGCAACAGTAACTCAAATAGTCACATTACAACGAAGTCTGCAGAAGAGCAACTCTGAACGCAACACATCCAACCTTGAGGCAGATGGGCTACAGCAGCAGAAGACCACACCGGGTGTCACTCCTGTCAGCTAAGTACAGGAAACTGAGGCAACAATTCACACTCCATCTTAAATGGCCTAAACAGTGACCAGTACTCAATCCAACAGAGCACCTTTGAGATGTGGTTGGCAACTGCGTGATGCTCTCATGTCAATATGGACCAAAATCTCTGAGGAATATTTCCAGTACCTTGTTGAAATCATGCCTTGAAGGATTAAGGCAGTTCTGACGGCAAAAGAGGGTCCAACTCGATACTAGTAAGGTGTACCTAATAAAGTGGCCGGTAAGTGTAAAATTATTAACCCCCTTTTTTTCGAGTCTTCAGAACAAACCATCGTTATACATAACTTGCCTAATTACCCTAACCTGCCTAGTTAATCTAATTAGCCTAGTTAAGCCTTTAAATGTCACTTTAAGCTGTATAGAAGTGTCTTGAAAAATATCTAGTCAAATATTATTAACTGTAATCATGGCAAGATAAAATAAATCAGTTATTAGAAATGTGTTATTAAAACTATTATGTTTAGAAAAGTGCTGAATTTTTTTTCTCTCCGTTAAAGAGAAATTGGGGGAAAAAAATAAACAGGAGGGCTAATAATTTTATCCTCAACTATATATATATATATATATATATATATATATATATATATATATATATATATATATATATATATATATATATATATATATATATATATGTTTTTTTATGTATTTCTTTTTTTAAATATTTAGATTTTTTTTAGATGGGGGTGGGGGTTATACATTTTACTCTTCATCATATACAGTGTGATACAATTTAGTCATGAATATATTGTGTTCATTGGCTGCTTCAGTTATGACAATCAATATTCATGAGCTAAACTCGTAAACTTTAAAATGAGTCGGGCCAGTTTTCTTACAATCCTGCATGCAAAACTCCCAGACAAAAGAAATTATTAAATAAATAAAAAAATGTCCACTCAGGCAGATGGCCAATTTAAAACATCAGATGAAACAGAAATAAGATTGATGCCTTTAATAAAGAACATCCCTTTTTAAAATACATTTCCATATAACACGGCTCATATATCTTCAAGTGCAGCTTTTTACTTTTCTTGCGTGCCGTAGTTCCAGGCGCCGTTTCGGATCCGGCCTGAGTGGATAATTCAAAATATTTTGGAGGCTATTATTTTCTATTTGTCATTTTTACCTAGGTTTGAAGTACCGGCGAAGCTTATTCGCTTTCCAGCTGTCAGCTGCATTGAGACCGCTTTTAGCGAGCTTAAGAGAATGTTCTCTGTCAGCCATTGAATACTGCAACCCTCCATATTTAGATTTGCCATTCAAAATGATAGAGGTGTCACATAAAGAGAGGTCTGACTGTGTCAGTGCATCTATAAAAGGTGTCAAACATGCTGGTTTGAATCCAGCGTTTAAGTGCTTTTCCTTTCTCTGCCTTCAATGCCCGCCAGCTGGAGAAGGAGAATAAAAAGAGCGAGAAAACATTAAATGCCACCGCAGCATCTGTCAAGCACATCATAGACAACATCAAGATCCTCCTCGCTGCAGTTTGACCCGCTGAACGGTCATCTGAAGCTGATAGAAATGCGATTCTCTCTCTGCTTATCCTTTGTGTTTTGGTTGGATTGTTTGTTTCTCTCTTCCTGTGTTTTCAGGGCCACTTCTGAGACTCAGAGACGGAAAGCAGAGACGTTTAGAGAGTGATGCTGCCAACCTCTCAACAGGGGGCAATCGCTTTACCTGTCAACCCCTCTGCATGTCGCCTTTCATTTTCCGGCTCGAGGGACAAGAGAAAGCGAATAACCGCATTCACAGACACCCAGATGTTCCATTGGTGAGTCTCCAGCACGTCGCTGAACTGCCTTTTTATTTCCTGCTTCTGAATGATGGCTGACTTGTGTAGGAGTTGACAAAAAAGAAACAGGAAAAAAAAAAGATTATGAAAAAAACGGCAAGCATTTAGCATTTTGCTGCGGCGGCAAATAAAGGATGAATTATTCATCTGAGCTGTCAATGATACTCTTATTCTGCATGCAAAGTGGAAACTACTGTGCTTAAAGGAATCGACTTGAACTCTGTGGATTGCTTTGCTAACGGAATATAGCTCATCCTAATGGCAACCGGCCAACTGAGTAGCGTTATATGAGATATGAGCCTTAATAAAATAAAATATTAGCTTAAAAATAATAAAATAAAATAAAATAAAATTAATAAAAGATTATTTTTTTTATTTTCTGCTAAGTCTCTTTATTAATCTGGGGTCGCCACAGTGGAATGAACCACCAACTTATTCAGCACATGTTTTATGCAGCGGATGCCTGTCCAGCTGCAAACCATCACTGGGAAACACCCATACACTTTCATTCACACACATATGGACAATTTCAGCCTAACCAATTTACCTATAGCACATTTCTTTGGACTGTGGGGGAAACCAGAGCACCCACAGGAAACCCACGCGAACACGGGGAGAACATGCAGACTCCACACAGAAATGTCAACAGACCCAGCCGAGGCTTGAATCAGCGCCCTTCTTGCTGTGAGGCAACAGCACTACCTACTGCACCACAGCGTCGCCCAATAAAATATTACATTTAGATAAAATAAAACAAATGAAACAAAATAAAAATATTCAGATATAAAATAAATATGTTTAGATATGTTCAATTTTCATTTTATTTTAAGTTTTAGTAGTTTTATGTCCTTTCGTCAATTTAATTTCTTAAACATATTTATATTAGTCTTTATTCCTCTCTAATCTTTTTTTCTTATTTAGTAATTTTGGCATTTGAAGGAACATTAGAAATAATAAAAAAACATTTTTTTTAACCTTATAGTTAAAATTATATTTATTAAGGTTATACCAGTAGTATTTTTATTTACTAACAACAACAACAACAACTCTATGATGTGGAAAACAATCAAAAAGAAAGATTGGAAAAAATATTTAAACTTTCTTTCTTTCTTTCTTTCTTCATTTATTTATTTATTTATGTATTTTCAAATTGAGTAGAGTTATATAACTTTTACAAGATATAATAATTTTGCCCATTTTATTTTTAAAAAACATTTCTGTTAGCCTTTATACCTCTCAATTTTTTTTTTTCATGTTTGATAATTTTGGTATTTTTAAGAACATTAGAAAGATTTGAAAGAAACCTTTTGAGTTTTTTTCACATAATATTTATATTTATTTTAATTATACAAAACTTTATAATTGAGTTTAGTTAATAACAACAACTCTGTTCTATGATGTGTAAAACAATCAAGATTATAAAGAGTGGAAAAATATCACAGGAAAAGTCATATTATTTATTTGTTTATTTTTTTACAATTGAGTTATATGAAATATGAACCTTAATAAAAATAAATAAACAAATAAAATAAATATTCAAATATATTTTGATATGCTAAATTTTCATTTTAACAAAACATGAAAGGAGATATGAACCTTATTAAATAAAAAAATGAAACAAAACAAAACAAGTAATTTTATTTTTTTATTTTTTATTTAAATTATTTATTTAATTGTTTACATATATATATATATATATATATATATATATATATATATGTTTATCTATTTATTTATTTACTTACTGGCTTTTTTATTTATATACTTATTTATTTATTTACTGACTCGTTTATTTTTTACTTACTCATTTTTCAATTTATTTGTTTACTTACTGACTCATTTATTTATTTATTTATTTACTGACTTATTTACTTATTTATATTTATTTACTTACTGGTTTATTTATTTACTTACAGACACATTTATTTATTTATTTACTTACTGGTTTATTTATTTACTCACCGACTCATTTATTTATTTATTTACTTACTGACTTATTTATATATTTACTTACTTACTGACTTATTTAAAATTTATTCAAATATTATTCAAACCAAAAGGGTGGTTCTTTAAACTATACATTGAAAAGTTAATTGTAGAACCAGAAATAGTTCTTCTATGTACTCACTACAAACTACAAACAAACAAACAAAACTCTTTTAGAATCTTCATTTTAAAGAGAGTATTTCTACATTCTTGTCCCCAAAACATGTGTGTTGCTGAACCCTTGCTTCATGTCCTTGCTCTGACCCGACAAAATGGCATGGAATGACAAAAAGGAGTCTGGTCACAGGCCAGAAAGATAAATCTACCGCTGAAACATCTGAATCTTCACGGCAGGAATCAGTGAAGGCCTGTGTCTGAAATAGGAGCACGGGCTCAGATGAGGCTTATGTCACACAACACAACACTTTCTTCCATTGATTCTGAAATACCCAGCACTCATACGTTGTTTTGCTGAAGCGCAGAGTTCCACTTGATCTAGCAACACCACAATACTGTTGATTGTGTCACAGTGATGAAACCGCTCTCCACGGAGCATCATTCTTCCTCTCAGGGAAGATGGAGAGATGGATCAGGTTTGGCCTGAGGGCAAAAGTCGAATGACAACACCATTACACTTCCAATCTCCATTCTAGAATTAGTCCGCCTGTGTTTCTCTTTCTGAAAGCACACTGGAAGACTTCCTTTGAGCTCTTCTCAATCTCCTCCTCCACTCAGGCTACATAAACACACATGCGGAGGTAAGATTTATGTGGCTGGTAGATATTTAATGGCTGTGTGGGTAAAAGCTCTCGGTCTGTTAATTTAGTTCAGTGATAAAAGCGCTTCTTGATGCAGTGCAGCAGTGCATCCATTGCAATCCATTTGATGCTCATTTCATTGATGCTCCATTGGTTCTCTGTTAGTGACAAGAGGTGCTTAATATGTTCAGAAAATACTGATGGCCAAGCTTAAGAGGCCAAGCTAAATTTTTGAAATACAATTTTTGAAGGAAATATCTATGAATTGAGAGGGACAAAGATACAGGTACTAGTTACAGATAAAGTTATATTTTCTTTAATTTAAAGTTGCTATTGTGGTTAATGCTAAAATAAATCTAACGATACAGAAAGAATAGCAAACGAAGAGCAAAGAACAGCAAAAAATAAAATAAAAACTGAAAATAAAAATAAAATAAATTTTTAAACAAATGAAGTGAATGCATGATAATAATATTACTATATATAAATTATTATGTAATAGTATCTTATTATGTAATAATTAATAATTAATGAATTAGTTGGTTGATTATTTAGATTACTGTTATTATGGATTTATTTACTTACTATATATATTTGGTTAAAGTGAATTCTAAAATGAATTCTTAATGACATTAAGTAAATAAAATAAATAAAAATAAATAAATAAATAAATAAATAAATATCTAGATAAATGAAACAATAAATAAATAAACAAATATACATATATATGTAAAGATAAAGATAAATTATATATATATATATATATATATATATATATATATATATATATATATATATATATATATATATATATATATACATACACACACACACACACACACATACATATACACACACACACACACACACACACACAAATATATATATATATATATGTATATATATATATATATATATATATATATATATATATATATATATATATATATATGAATAAATAAATAAACAGATAAATGAATAGTAAATAAAATAAATATATACATATCTAGATAAATGAAAAAAATAAATAAACTGATAAACATAAAAATAAAGACAAATGAATAATATATTAGAATATAAATAAATAAATAAATAAAACAAACATTATATATATATATATATATATATATATATATATATATATATATATATATATATATATATATAAATTAAGTGGATTGCACATAAAACATTTAAGTTGTTTAAAAAAAACCTCGAGAATTGTGTTGATTCAGTTCATGTTAAATAAATAAATTAAACAAGCAGCAAAAGTGTTTTTTGAGTGCAAGAATTGTGCTTGTTTTACCTAATTTTAAATAAAAACAGCAGAGTATTTTTGGAGGGTATATTTTATTATGTAAAAGAAAGTAAATAACTTTTTTAATTCATTAGGTTATTCTAATTTGCAGGTAATTTACAGGTAATTTGAAGGTAATTTGCAGGTTGGAAGCAAAATGTGTGACACTGTTAAACATTAATTTCTCCCCACGGTCTACAACAACGACAACTATTTTTTTTACAGGTTTCCAGAGACTGAACTGTGACAGTGAATAAACCGAATGATGAAATGCAGCTTTCTCTTGACAACACAAAATCCAGGAAAAAACTAATTAGCAGGAGCAAAAATGATAGCCTGTCTCACAATCCCCATCCACTCTGATGACAATCAATGAGAAGAGCGACGGAGGGCCAGACTGGATTACCAAAAACAAAACACTTATTTTGATGTTGCTCTGGGTGTTATTTTTCTTCATTTGTCAACAAAGTCTTCTACCTTCGAGTCCCCAGCAATTCTCACCCAATAATGCAGACATGCAGTTGAAGTCAAAATTATTCGCCCTCCTGTGAATTTTATTTTTTTTTATTTTCAAATATTTTTCAAATGATGTTAAAGGGCCATGAAACCCCCTCGTTTCAGCAGGGTGTTTTCACACCTCTACTTTGGAAAAAGTCAGAAAAGTGGGCGTGTCCAGCTCTGTTTAGGGGGAAGTGTCGGAGGAACAAAAGAGGCTTGGTGTGGGAGTGTCTATTTGGGCGCGCTGAATTTCAGAGTCAAAACACACAACCACAGTGGACAATGTGACTGTGTTTACATGGACATCTGTAGTCGAATTATTTGCCAAATTATTAAATGGTGAACTTTAACTGCAGTTTGGCTCTTTCATTCAGGGAATTCATTCATGCCCCTCCCGACAAACGTGATATTTGATTAGAGGCGCTGCTCTAAGCGTGTATTTTTCATGCAATGTTTGATACCGCACGGCGAATGAGAGAAAAAAAAACTCAGCATTTCCCGGAAACTTAGATAAACACGGCAGGTAGCGTCAGAAAGCCGTGTGTTATTCCGGTCACAAAATCCAACACGAGGTTATAGTTTGGTTGTAACTGTTTTTGCACACTCGGTGCAATAGTTTGTTTGATACGAATAAAATACGAACTGAATAAACAGAGCACTGGTCGCTCACTTACCAAATCTGTAGAGACAGGACAATCACCAGCAACTAGAGCCGCGTCTTTATTTAGAGGAGACTAAAGCGAATCTGGATCTCAGCGTTTGCAGATGAGAACAGCTCTCAGGTAAACAATAATCCTCCTTAGACACGTAAGTTATTGTTGTCGAGCGTCGCGTACACTGTTAATCCACGCGTGAGTCTGAGCTCTCACAGAGAGAAAATGAAAACGAAACTTAACTGCAGCAAACTATAAAAGCAACACTTCACGCTTGTTTTGCCAACACAACGTGGCGTCTTTGCCATCTACACTCTGACAGTAATGAATATTAATGTTAAGTTGCACAATAGAGCGCGCTGATTGGTTTGAACCAAGCCTTACTCATGCATTAATGCAACACACTGTAAGACGTAATAAGACTCACTCTGGCACAGACGCCCAGTCTGCACGCTGGAATACAACGCTATTATGTCATGACCGTGACGCAGCTTCAAAAATTCGTTTCAAACAGGAAGTACGAATTTGCTTGAAATAACGCAAAAACAACCAATTTACACTTTTTAGTGAAATATAGGTGTCCTAATAGTGTTTTTAGCAGTGTGGGACACATATACGACTGTCAACAGCTCAAAAAATGTGTTTTAGTGTTTCGTGACCCTTTAAACAGGGCAAGGGAATTTTCACAGTATTTCCTTCTAATTTTTTTCTTCTGAAAAATGTCTTATTTGTTTTATTTCGGCTACAATAAAAGCAATAAAAGCAGCTTTTCATTTTTTAAAACCATTTTAAGGTCAATGTTATCAACTCCCTTTAGCATTTTTTTTTTCGATAGTTTACAGAAAAACCATCGTTATACAATGATTTTCCTAATTACACTAACTTATCTAGTTATCCTTAATGTCACAATCTCCAGCGATCATAACTCCATAGATTGCTGGATCTCACTCACAATAACTCAAGGACAACAATTCCGCCATTTCTGGACTACATTTTCATACATGCACTCTGGTCACACTCACACATGCTTCCTCATCTAGACTGATTACTCGCACCACCTGAGGATTGTCAGAGACTGATTGCACGCACTCAGCCACACATTTAAGCCACACACACTCCCCTATTCTATCTACACTATCCTGTATACCGACCTTGGAGTCTTGTTAGTCTCCTTGTCTTTGTCTGCCGCCTGCCTTTTGACCTTTCGCCTGTTACTGATTACGATTCTGGACTGCCTTCACATACCCATTTGCACTTGTGTTGACCATTGCTTGCCAGACTACGAATAAATCTGCATTTTGGATCCTACCTCAGTTGTTTGTGTCACTCCCACGTGTTACAGCAGATTGTGACACTTAAAGCCTTCAAATGTCACTTTAAGCTCAATACTTGTATCTTGAAAAATATCTAGTCAAATATTATTTACTGTCATCATGGCAAAAAAGGAAAAAAAAAGAGCAAGAAATTCAGCACAGCTAAAAGTGCTGTTTGTTCTGTTTATCGCATTCAGGACTGAGTGGACCTTCCGCTCTGTTACTGGTCCATGAAGACCTTCAAAATCCCTCCTAAGCCTGGGTTTTCAGAGCCAAAAAGGCATCACAAATCCTTCTCAGCCTCATTCTTGCCAGTTTGGTCCAGCAGCCCATAAACTCGCTTACACACGATTACAAAGAGTGCTGCACTAAAAGAGAAAACATTTCTATAACATATTTTAGCTGTTCACTTGAGAGGAAAACATGTATTAATCTTCAAAGCAGCGGGTAGAGGGGAGAAAAATCCTTATTTGAAATTAATATAGATGTCTAGACACTTCACAACTAACTAACAAAAAAAACATGTATTCATACTTGAAGCAACCTATAGAGGGGAAACAAACATACATTGATATTAATATAGATGTCCAGACACTCTACATCTAACTAGCTGACTAACTGAATAATAATAATGAAATAAAATTGCTTTATTTACATTTTTCATCATAATAATATGAATTATTAGCATGTTTAAAATACTATTTCAGTCTTTCAAACTGTTGTTTAATTTATTCTAGACTTCTGTTAACATGCTAGTAACATGCTAGAGTACGCTAACAATGGGCTAAAATATAGCATGTTACACATACAAACAATATGTTTCATATTGAAACATGCTTCAATTTACTGTGAAACATGCTTCAAACATGCTAGTAGCTATAAACGCGGTTTATATCTATCTATCTATCTATCTATCTATCTATCTATCTATCTATCTATCTATCTGTCTGTCTGTCTGTCTGTCTGTCTGTCTGTCTGTCTGTCTGTCTGTCTGTCTGTCTGTCTGTCTGTCTGTCTGTCCGTCCGTCCGTCCATTTATCTACCTGTCTATCTGTTTGTCTGTCTGTCTGTCTGTCTGTCCGTCCGTCCGTCCGTCCGTCCGTCCGTCCGTCCATTTATCTACCTGTCTATCTGTTTGTCCATCTATCTATCTATCTATCTATCTATCTGTCTGTCTGTCTGTCTGTCTGTCTGTCTGTCCGTCCGTCCGTCCGTCCGTCCGTCCGTCCGTCCGTCCGTCTGTCCGTCCGTCCGTCCGTCCGTCCGTCCGTCCATTTATCTCCCTGTCTATCTGTTTGTTCATCTATCTATCTATCTATCTATCTATCTATCTATCTATCTATCTATCTATCTATCTATCTATCTGTCTGTCTGTCTGTCTGTCTGTCTGTCTGTCTGTCTGTCTGTCTGTCTGTCTGTCTGTCTGTCCGTCCGTCCGTCCGTCCGTCCGTCCGTCCGTCCGTCCGTCCGTCCGCCCGTCCGTCCGTCCATCCGTCCATTTATCTACCTGTCTATCTGTTTGTCCATCTATCTATCTATCTATCTATCTATCTATCTATCTATCTATCTATCTATCTATCTATCTATCTATCTATCTATCTATCTATCTATCTGTCTGTCTGTCTGTCTGTCTGTCTGTCTGTCTGTCTGTCTGTCTGTCTGTCCGTCCGTCCGTCCGTCCGTTTATCTACCTGTCTATCTGTTTGTCCATCTATCTATCTATCTATCTATCTATCTATCTATCTATCTATCTATCTATCTATCTGTCTGTCTGTCTGTCTGTCTGTCTGTCTGTCTGTCTGTCTGTCTGTCTGTCTGTCTGTCTGTCTGTCTGTCCGTCCGTCCGTCCGTCCGTCCGTCCGTCCGTCCGTCCGTCCGTCCGTCCGTCCGTCCGTCCGTTTATCTACCTGTCTATCTGTTTGTCCATCTATCTATCTATCTATCTATCTATCTATCTATCTATCTATCTATCTATCTATCTATCTATCTATCTATCTATCTATCTATCTGTCTGTCTGTCTGTCTGTCTGTCTGTCTGTCTGTCTGTCCGTCCGTCCGTCCGTCCGTCCGTCCGTCCGTCCGTCCGTCCGTTTATCTACCTGTCTATCTGTTTGTCCATCTATCTATCTATCTATCTATCTATCTATCTATCTATCTATCTATCTATCTATCTATCTATCTATCTATCTGTCTGTCTGTCTGTCTGTCTGTCTGTCTGTCTGTCCGTCCGTCCGTCCGTCCGTCCGTCCGTCCGTCCGTCCGTCCGTCTGTCCGTCCGTCCGTATGTCCGCCCGTCCGTCCGTCCATCCGTCCATTTATCAACCTGTCTATCTGTTTGTCCATCTATCTATCTATCTATCTATCTATCTATCTATCTATCTATCTATCTATCTATCTATCTATCTATCTATCTATCTATTAAATACAAAGTGTCATGAAACTATTGGGCACAAAGGCTTATAATCTGAGCCCCCTTCTACCTTAGCTCCACCTGTATAGATCTGCTATGGGAGCTACATGTATGTTATGTTTGCAGCGGCAGTGTGTCATATTCTCAGACAGCATTTCTACTCCCAAGACTAAACACATCAACGTTGTCATTTACATATTCATTACCATACCATGTACCGCTATCATAAATCTCTCTGAAAGTTATCACGACAGAGCTAAAATTAATTTAGTGGTATTTGTATTAGTTTTGTCAAATTATCCTGAATTGAATATAAATTGTATGTAAATCAAAGATAGTTTTCTTTTAAAATGTTTTTTTCATAGCCCAAAAAAATGTCAAGTTGTCAAGAAAGAACTAAAATATTGAACTAAATATTAAATAAATAT